GGCCCTTCTCCAAAGGCCCCCCCCCTTTCGATGGAGACACAGTAAGCCTATTTCAGTCACTTGAAACGCGCGACATGGAGACGCCTGTCCCCCTTCCCTGTCAAACTTGTCTTGCTGCTAGTTATCGCTGCATTTCGTCACTTGGGGCCCTCATGCCGGCCGGGACAGTCCCTCTGCGACCACTCAAGAGACAGATGACCACTCTCCCTACGCCCACATAAACCTGGTTGCGACCTCATCATGACGAAACCGCATGGTAGAATCAAGTTCGTGAGAAGCACACCCAGCTTCAAACTACTGTGCGATGGCGGAGTCCTTGTAGCTTTCTGGCCCGCCCTTCTAGCCCATGATTTGGGCCAATTTCGCCTTATATTCTCCTCGGACTGGAATGGAAATCGACCAGCAAGACCCTGCGGCGGCTCTCGCGCTCCATCGGGATATGGCACGTGCATCCAGCGACACCACGTACACCGTACACCAACTTCTAGCCAGCGGCCATGAAGGCGCAAAACACCACGTCGCACAGAGAAGAGGAATGCGCAACGGCTGGCTTCCAAGAGGAGAATACATCAGCACTATTACGTGACCAAACGACAGCACCTTGTGGACGGAATCGTGCCGGGTATTCTCGAGAGATCAGTATGCGCTGTCATGGCCTCATTTGCCGAAAAGAAAAGACACACCGCCGTGCCACATACTACACTATACTATATTCTGACCCAGAGAACCGGGTTGCGCTCGGCTGCCGTTGTTGCCCTCGTCGCTCGTCCACAAGAGGGGCCATCTGTGCGGTATCCAGTTAACAGGAACCCCAGACTGCGAAGCCAGCTTAAAACGGCGCCTTGGAGAAACAATGGCCTTGAGATTCCGTCCGTTCTATAATCCGCGCAGCCATGGTTGACTTTTTGAGTTTCGTGCAGCCGATTTGAGCTGGTTTTGTCCCATCTCGCCGTTAAACTAAACATCGGGCGGACCTGGGGAAGGCCTGACTGACCTTTACAAGCCTTGGGACAACTTCTCTTTGGAAACCAACTGTACGTGACGGATAAAAGAGGACAACCTACCAAGTCAACCCAACTCAGCATGTCGGAATGGCGGCGCAACTGATTCCCCTGCTCCGTCTTGTGCAATTTCCTCCGCAGTGGCAGTTGTCTGCGTCGTCATGAATCGCGACACGGCCATGTGCTAGTAGTCTTCGCATCTCGGCTACAGTCTCAGTCATGAAATTGCAGCGACATACCGAGCATGGAGTAGCTCTACGCAGACCCAGTTCCAGCAGCCCACTCTCTCCTGGCTTGGGGTATTCGGATGAGGAGTAATTTGTACTGATTGATCATGGTACATAGGCCTCTTTTTAGCCCGCTTGCTCGCCAATGCGAATTGGCCAAATAAATGTCAAACTAACAGGGCGACCTGACTCGCTCCAGGACCGCGGGCACAAGCATTGGATAAAACTCTCGCATGCATTCAGGTAACTGGTGCCCTCACTTGGTTCTGCTCCACATGGGGACGACACGCCGCCATCTCCATTTATCATAGTTTGTCCTGGTATGCACCGTCCTTGGGTCTCTCACAGTGCTCAGCGATAGCTCCCTCACCTCTACTGGTACGTACGGTGGCCTGGATGTGCCGAGTTTCTTGTCTCCGCCTGGTGGCGGCGGCAGGGCCTCCTTCGACCCGAAGCCACGCAAAAAAAGAAAAGTTGTCTGTGGCGTGGGTGCTGCATGCAAAGTACATAGGCTTTGTCGTTGACAAGGCAGATCAACACGTGCTTTGCTGGTGAGCCGGCAAAAGAAAACATGGGCAACGCAAAATCAACGTCAGACAAAAGCAATTATGCTGTCACCGGCGCAGACCTCAGGCCGCCAACGTCAATTGCACAGAGTAAATGCTCAATGGCAGATGGCGGTATGCAAAAACTGCGCGCACTGTAGCCCTGGTAGGTGGTGTGCCATGGAACTCGGTTCGTATCCAATCACGAACAAAAGAGGCTCAAGTATAGGACAAAAACGCCTCTTTGTTCAACAAGCAATAAATGTGCCGACATGCCGATATATTCTCTGCCACATGGCTTGCACGACCCGCATTGGACCTGATGAACGCGAATAGGTTGCATGGCGGACCTCGATCACCACGGCTCTTTCAAGAGATTGCGGGCTGCTATTAGAAAGGCGACTCTGTAATCATTTCTGCTTCACCTCAAATTATTCGCTAAAACCGGCGAAAATCCCTTCGCCATACTGGGGCACGAGTCTCACCTGTGGGCAGGGGAGTTGAAAGGGAGTGCAACCACACGACGAATAGACAATGTCGAGACGAACTCAATCGGACTTGAATCGCAAAGCCTTGCGCCTCGGAAGCCCCGATGCAGATTATACAACCTCGCGCAACGTTGATCCGTATACTACCAGTATGAATCACTGTGCCCATGCCGGCACTGAGCATCCCAAGTGAGATCGTCGCTTGCTGGTTGCGGATCTCCCGACCTTGGGATGATCCAGTGCCTTGGCAAGCCCGCGCCACCAGAAAAGCCAAGACTTGTTGCTTCTTTTTATTAGGGGAAGTGATTTGCAACTCTTGTTTTTTTCCACAACGCGACCAACACCATTCAGAATCCCGCATACATTTATGTATCCATCTAGGAAAGGACTTTGAAACAGATATTTGAGTTTCCACGCGGCCAATTGTCTATTCCGTGGGCTGGGATTGCGGGCGCCTGCGTGAAATTGTCAGTCGACGCGGCATTTTTCCCTCCGCGCCCCCCTCCGAGTTTGGGGCGTTCCTTGGCAGCTCCGACGCTGTTTCTTTGCCTCCATGTAGACATACTCCGAGAGCAACCTGCTGTTTTCGTCAGATCCGAACAAGAACAAAGAGAAGAAGAAGAGAAGGGGGGGGGGAGGGGTGAGTCTGCTCCCTAACACGCTGATGACAACCGGACATCCTGCCCAACAAAGCCAAACCCTGCACAGCGGGATAAAAAAACCTCTGCTGGTAGGCTCTCATGAATCTGACGCCCTTGTATACCCGGGAGGCTGAAACGGCCTTGATGCGTTCTTTTTTGGCCCTTGTTCTGGCGCAATGCCCTGAAGTAGCTTGGCTGTTCAACAACGATTACAATTCCTTGATAGAGCAGTTGTCCCCGACAGGCTGCTGACCCGCCCCTTCCCCCGGTAGGTTGGAGAGAGCTCAGGCGTTACCCGACGAGCACTTGTTGTTGCTCTCGTCGACGCGGTGGGAAGAAGTCGAGAGAGAGGCCGCCAAGACAGACGGTGCTCCATCCCTTTGCAGAGAATATACGGATAGAGTGAGGACAAGCAACCGGAACAGCCCTTGCTCCCGGAATCATTCCACGTCTACAAGTATATATATATATATATTATAGAGCCAATGCTTTACAAGCTTGGTTGTCACATACAGAGTAGGCTATCCGCGACATGACGCCGACAGTTTCAGGCCGTATCTTTTATTTTTCTCTCCTTTTGCGCGTGCGTTCTTCGTGATTCCATGACGAGGTCAACTGACCCTTCTTCCCCATGTCCGAGTTGCGGCCACGCCTCCGCGGGCCTCACACATCAAAGAAAGCAAGCATAATCTGGAACCCAGCGAGACCACGATGCGATGCGTCTAAAACGACTCGGACTTGTCTTGCATCCTGTCCCACCACCCTCACCCTCTGCTGTCCCGCGTTCGCCATGCATGGCATCTGAGTCGTCGTAAGCACGCGTCGACCGACGTCGGGGTTTCTTGAGAAACAAGGGGGGGAACACCAGGCCCGTCCGTCCAAACAACAACAACATCAACATGAAGAAACGCCAAGAGAACAAGACAGGAAAAGGAAGAAGAAGAAAAAAGGCCGAGTTTCATGCAACACTATGCGACTTTTGTTTATCCGACACAGCGCATTAACTACCAGAATCCTCCTTCCCTTTAGTCCGGATCTTGGCCCTTTTGCCAGTCATGTGTGTGTATACAAACACGGCAGATGCGGCCCCCTTCCAAGGGAGTTTCCCTTTTTTCCTTTTCGCTGAATAGCAGAGCTGGGCCATCCCGTTCACCGTAGGCCCTGCAGAATAATAAAATAGCTTGAGACAAACAGCTGCACGTTTCACACCTCGCACCCCAGAAGAGACGGAAAGAAAAAAAAAGGGTGGCGTCAGGCATCGGGGCCTTTTTTTTCTCTCTTTCCCTCCCCTTCCTCCTTTGCAGCCGCCCTTGTGATGAAGTTTTGAATAAAAGAGCAGCATTGCGAGGCTGTGGTAATGTAGGGAAACCTTGGTGCATCACCGTTCCGAGACTCGCAGCTGAGCGGATATGCCTTCCGATTCACCCGCGCTCCCATGCTTTTATGACAGCTCCTCGTTACCCAAATGTGACAAAAAGGTTAAAACAAAAAGGGTCAACATTCCGCAAATCGATGCAAGTTCCCAGAGGACATGCCTTTTCGAAATCGCCACCCCCCCCTATCGTCTTCCAAGACAGGAGGGCTTCGTATGTCTCTCTTCGAGAATCTCATTTCCGTTTCGTTTCGAATGTCTCTCAAAAGCTTGGCCTTGCTTTATTCTCCTAGTGGCCCGCGAGGCGAGGTCTTTGCGCTCGCTGGTGTGACACGCAGGATCTGGAATGTCCTACCTCATCATCTGGAACTCTCTGGTGTCCTAAAGTCAACGCAAGTCACGCAATTACACAGCAGAGTAGTACATTACAAAGTTGTCGCTCCATTAAAGTAAAACTCCTAATAAGTCTCTTTTGCTACAGCAGTTCAAAAACGCCCGTGTGCATGATGCCTCCAGACTCCCATCTTTGTTCTATGCTAATAAAGTTTTGGCTTGCCCCAATTTCTGTTCCTCCTATATGGTACAACGACAGAAAAGAAGTGATAAAAAAAAGAAGTTACAAGATCCTTGTCCGCTTTCCACTCTGGAAAAGTGCACTGTAATGATGACGCTGTGGTGGCCCTAGCATACTGGCTGTCCTGTCTCCTCTTCATGGTCGCTTGCTGCTTACAAAAGAATAGCAAGTTCGGGACGATCAATCTTATCATCCTCCAGGTTTGGGTAGTAGGGCACCATGGCGTCAGCTGCCTGGACATAGGCATCATTGTACAGACGCCAGTACGGCGTGCGCACCTTGCGTGCTGGGTGGAACAATCCTGCCCAGACGTAGTTGAGAACGATGCCGGGGCCTGCTGCCATACGAATGGCTTCGATAGCCTCGATGATCCGGTCAATGACGTGCGGGCTGGTCTCAAAGAGATTCGGGTACAGCAGGTTCAGCAGATGCACCATGGCATCTTCGCATCCGAGTCCCATGACGCCGAGAGCAATGTGCTTGACAACGGCAGCGGCGGTCTGACGATGAACTTGATCACGGTCTGTCAAGGCATCTTCGAGGAGCGGTGTGACGGCGTAGACATAATCCTTGGCCATCTCTCCAATATACTCAAACAAAAAGGACAGAGACTTGAGCACACCGTTTTGTACATTGAGCTCTGGTACGCGATATTCGTTCATCAAAGCGGGCAGAACAGTAAAGGGCGCGCAGGTCTCTGCAACAATACCAATAGCGACAGCCGTGTTGACGCGCGACTGACGTTCCTGGACTCTCAGGTTGTTCAGCAGAGTCGCCAACACGTCCTGGGGACCAATAGCCTTGGCAATGAAACCAAAGGTATTATTTGCGGCGCGGCGGATGCCCTTCTTGTGAGCCTTGAGCATGTCCAGAAGCTCGAAGCAGATGCGCATCCACTCTCGGGCATTCACACTCTCCGGACCACGATCAGCGATACGTCCAACCAGGTCAATGGTGTTCTCTTGGACCTTTTCGTGTCTGTTTCGCAGAATCGGCGTCAGGCGTGGCAGCAAGTCCTTGATAGGAGGCTGCATTTGCGTGATACCAACAACCGTAACGATGGAACGTAGAGCACCAAGAATTGATCCCAGTACTTCAGGATACTCTTCACCGAGGTATTCGTAGAGCACAACGCCGAGCTTGCCCATAAGGGCATCCTCACCACATTGTTGCATGACCATGGCGATGCGTGAAATGAGATCCGCCGCCTGCTGTCGGACAGTGGCCGACTTATTGTTCAATCTCCATAGGATGGTGCTGACGATCTGGGGCAGGTATGGCTTGCAACGAGTACTGAGTGCATTGACGACTGAGCCAAAGCCGTTTAGCATGACAATGTCCTCAACGCTCTGCTCCTGGAAGGCATGTAAAATGCCGTCAATCAAGCGCTCCTCGAGTCGCTCTCCGATATCTGCAGCCCCGAGACTGGCAACAACCTTCTCGACAGTCTCGACGGTCATCTTTCTGTAGGCTTCACTCTCGTCCTTGAGGTTGTTGACAATTCTCTCGATAATCTCGCTGACGCCAACCTTCTGACCAATATCAACAGTTGTCTCGACAACTTGACGGTAGTTGCGTTTATCGAGGGCCATACGCCTCACCCAGAAGCTCTTGAAGAATTCATCCAGAACGTGCTCCTTGAGATAACCAGCGGTAACACCCTGGGTAGCAGCGCACTGAGACACGACTTTGAGAACGACCTTCTTCATCTCCTCATCGGGTGAGGAGAATTCTCTCAGAAGAATTTCCATGATCTGACTGGTATAGTAGTTGGCATACTCTTCGTCCATCAGAGGAATAATGAATCCGACCGCTTTGAGAAAACCAGCCAATCCCTTACCTCTCTGCTTGCGCGCACCGGTCCAGAGGGGGTTCAAAATATCGTCGAAGCTCTCAATACCGTATGGGTTCGAAGCCTCAGCAAGAGCAGCAATGGCCAGACTGGTCACTGTTCTAACCTTGGTCTGCTCGTCATTCAGGTTGGGGCCAATACAATCCACAAGCCCCTTAAGATGTGGGAGAACAGCACATCCCATGAGAATAGGAATCTGCTGAACAATCTTGACACCAGTGTGACGCGCTTGCCAGGACTTCTTGCTTCGACAAACGGCGCGGAGGAATGGGAGAAGTGCGGGGATGCCGAGTGCAGAAGCAACCACGGCAAAGGCTCTGGCAGTGGTATTGCGGACGTACTCGTCGACGTGATCTATATCAGGTCGCATGGTACTAATCATGGTTGCTAGGCCTGCAGCCTTGGACAGATTTGAGATGATCTCGCGACCCTCAACTCGGGCGTAGTAGTCCTGGTCAATGAGCAGTGGCTCGATGACGACTAAGATCTTGTGCACGTATGGCCGCACGAGGTCATCAAGTTTGTAAAGGATGCGGTCAATGACCTTGACAAGCAAATGGCGCTCTTGGTCTTCAAGTGTCTTTTCCATGAGGAGGGGCAGAATCTGGTCGAACAGAGGACCGGGACCAAAGTTTCTTGCATTGTCTGTGATCTGACGGAGGGCTGTCTTGCGCATGGGTGGTGTGCCGTTTTTGATCTTGAGCAGCAGGCGCATAATTTTCCTCTCCTTGAGCTGCTCAACCGACAGCGAGTTTTCGTCTGAGCCATCGGTCAGCTTGCCAAAGTATGCCATATCTTCAGCCTTGAAAAATTGCAAATCTCCAACACCAGGAATCTCGGCGGACATCGGCTTGCCCCCGAGACGAACCTGATCTGGGTCCTGCATCATGAATCCGCTCTGCTCGACTGGCGCAACCATCTTGTGAGGTGCCACACGGATAGGCTCATATCCTGGAGGTGGCTGGAGGATTTTATATCCGTCATCTTCACCGGGCAGCAGCAGGTCCAGCTCCTCGTCGCTGATAGGCAGATTGCGAATGTCGCTTCCGAAGGTTGCGGGTATCATGGCAGACTGAGACTGAGGTGCAGGTGTAGCAAGGCCTGTATTGGTCATGGGTGTAGCGGAAGGGGCCTGATCCCAACGAGAGCGCTTCTTGGGAGCATCACCTTCAACAGGGACGCCAACAGCAGGTGCCTGATCCCAGCGAGAGCGCTTTGGTTTGGCAGTCTCCTCCGCTGAAGCTTCATCATTTGCGCCAATATCCCACCTCTTCTTCCGCTTGCGACCTGCGGCGACGGCCTCCGTAGATCCAGCCTCTGTGTTCTCCTTGTCACCCTCGGTCAGGGCGGGCTGCGCATTGGCGTTGCCGGATTCCTGTTTTAATTGAATTTCGCGTCGCACTCGCTCTTCTTCGCGTTCAAGTTCACGCTCTTCCATAATCTCGCGATAATTGGTACCATTCTCGGCTGCGCCAGCCTGTCGATTCTCGGCAAATGGATCGGCGCGAGTCGGGGTCAACACACGATTGAAGCGGCGCTTTTGGTAATCGGTTTCGCGGTCGGCAATGCGGCCGCTTTTTTCGCCTTTGCCAGCCAGGATATCGTCCTCTTCGACGCCGTCTCCTCGTGCGAATTCGTTGATGATTTCATTCGAAGCGGTATACTGGCCAACAAGGCGTCGCGTAGTATCGACGCCGTCCATATCGTCGTCATCGTCGGCCATAGGAAGGCTGGTGTGATAGCCCGAGAATTTGTCCCCACCATCATTATCGTATAGATCATTGTCGGCGCTGTCAGTCAGCTTTTGCTTGGTCGAGTCCGTCCGCTGAGTCGAGGAACGCGTTCCCTTCTTAGCGGCAGAAGCAGCATTGCGCTCCTGCTGCAGCTTCTTGATTGTCTCGAAATCCGCGTCAGACATCTTGGATCAATATTATTCCAGCCTCATCCCGGTTCCAAGGTGCAAGGGGCGATAAGAGCGCCAGCGTTGCGCATGGGTAAGTTGAAGTGCGACAGGTAGCTTGTGTTGAAGTTTTCTGGCGTAGCTTTGACACGGAGGGGGGCGAGAAAACTGTAGAGCGGCTAATTCCGAAGATTTGCCGCCACCTAAGCTTACAGGGAGCGGGAACAGCACAAGGTTAACAGGATTGAGGAAAAAAGATGAAGAAATTTTTATTTCGGTAAGTGTGTCTCATATACTCTTCATTACAGTATGAGCTTCATCATGGCTTGAAGTTACGGCCGACGCCGCGTCCGTCTTCTCTTAGCGGGTAATTCCATGTCTAACATATAGGCGTCTGCCTGCTCTGACTTCACGTCAACCACCTTTTCCGTTCTAACTCGTTTCTTGGTAGTTTTACCAGGCTTTTCCTCTTCAGGTGATACTTGACCGTTTAAAACTGTTTCTAGCTTTGGTGGCCGATCAGCAAAAGACTTCAAATCAGCAGTAAATAACACTGAATGAGCCCAACCAGCGTAACTTCCCCATATGCCCCTAAAATGGTCACCAACCGCATCGTACATGGCTTTGTTAAAGGTCTTTGTTTTAGTTTTGCCCATCTTGTAGTCACGTTGTGCAATCTGCCAAACATGTGTGTCGACGGGGACGGATTCGCCCCAGCCGAGCCCCATGAGGCAGACACAGTCTGCTACTTTGGGTCCGACACCTGTCAACGCAAGAAGTTCTTCGTGGGCTGCTTTATAGGTGGGAGATTTACCAGCTGCAGCCTTGACAGACGTTTTCATGACAGATTCTGGGTTTCGTAGTGTTTCAAGCCAGCCCGCGGGTTTCTCTTTAGCAATGACACGAGCAGTCTGGGCGATATACTTTGCGCGGTATCCGAACCCAAGCTCTCGCAAATGACTCTCAACATTAGGCCCAGAGAGAGATTCAGGGGTTGGAAAGTCGTGAATAGGGTCATCACCGACATGTCCTAACAGCGGCCCATAATGTATGCACAATTTGTGAACCTATCTCAGGTTTAGTCTGCGTGCGTTGTGAGAGTGAAGCTTCCGAGATCTTACCATCTGGGAAATTCGGGCTATATTATTGTTGCTGCTGCAAATAAAGCCTACCAAGGCCTCCCAAGCATCCTGACTTAAGATACGGACACCAGCAAATTCAGGGGCTTTCTTGGCGAAGTTGGGGTCTGCCCTTGACCACTGTTGGTATAGTTCGGCGAGATTAAGGCGCAGACTGAAGTAATGCCGGAGAAGATCTTCTGTGTCATCCTCTGCTATAGAAACAGAACGCGCAGCGAGCTCACTTCGGAAGCTTGGCCAAGTTGTTTGGTAATGAAGATGCTGGGAATCTTGCTTCAGAGATAGGATACGGCCGTGAAGCGCACAGGTCCTAAAATAGTTAGCATTACAGAACAACCTCGAATCGACCTAAGCGCCGAGAATACCATTCATCATTGATTTTGCGCCACCTGAATGACTGGCCACATCGCAAAGTTGTGTCTATGCAAAGCTCTGCTAGTGTAACGGGAAGCTTCTGCCAATCGGCTGCACGTTTCATAGCCATAGTTACGCAATGGAGACGATAGGGCTGCGCTTCGAAATAGTCTCCACCCTGGTGATTATCTGCGAAGCACGATGGAATAAGCAGAGAAAGATGCAACCTGGCTTCGGCAGGATAGGATAATAAACGGCTTCTAGCGCTACAGGGCACCAGCCGCTGGAGGTTTTACCTCTAGCAAAGCCCATTACTGTGACCATCAGAACAAAAACAAAAACAAAACTCAAGTTGATAGCAGAAAATCGAAAATAATAACAGGCATATTATACTTAATACTGTCCCCGTCACTATTATTTTATTCTCCTTGTGCCACAGACACACCAGTCACCTACCTAGGTGTTGTTGCGCACATGACCGCCCACCAGCGATTAGCAGTGCGCGACACACTAAGCCTGAAACAGCTAGGCGCCATTGGCAGAAAAGCTCCCAGCATCACGGACACGGACTCTGCCTTTCCCTTCCTTGACCTCAGGCCGCCGCTCAGCTCCCATTTCCATCAATCAAGGAGAGCGCTCTGCAATTGACAGGCGCAATATTAGTCTACCATCATGAACGGCGACAACTATTCGTCTAGAGGTGAGTCGGTTGTTAGCTCGCACAACCGCGCCAACGCTGACGGGATGCTTGCGGCGAAAGAAGGCGATGGTCGTCGAGACCACCAGGTACGAAAAGGCACTCATCTCATTTCCAGAATGATATGCTAATAAAAAACAGTCCTCCCGGAGCGAACGAGGTGACCGAGGCGACAGGGGCGACCGCGACCGTGGCGATCGCCGTGACCGTGGCGACGACCGACGAGACAGACATAGAGACAGAAGACGCTCGCGATCTCCCGATCTTCGCCAGCGTCGCGACCGAGACCGAGATGGTGATGCGTACGCATCTAGCAGAAACCATAGAGACCGGGAGCGCGAGGAGCGATACACCGGTGGCCGCGACCGTCGCGGTGGCCCCAGCGGCGGTGGCGACAGAGAATGGGACAGAGATCGTGGCACATCCCGCCGCGATGCTAGACGCGATGATGATGTCCAGGGTAGGCGCGATCGCGACGGCGGTGATGATCACCGTCGGGGTGGCAGAGACCGCCGTGATGATGGCTTCGCGCGCCAGCAAGAACGCCGAAGCCCGTCTCCTCCTAAGCGCCGCGAGCCCACACCTGATCTGACCGACATCATTCCCGTCCTCGAACGCAAGCGTCGCATGACGCAGTGGGATATCAAGCCCCCCGGATATGAGGCTGTCACGTCGGAGCAAGCCAAAATGTCGGGCATGTTCCCTCTGCCTGGCGCACCGCGACAACAGCAGGTGGATCCTACCAAGCTCCAAGCTCTTATGAATCAGCCTGCTGGTGGCCAGGTCAGCAGCGCTGGACTCAAGGCCAACAACTCGCGACAAGCCAGGCGTCTTCTGGTTTCCGATATTCCTAGCGGAACGACCGAGGATGCGCTCGTGGCCTTCTTTAATCTGCAATTGAACGGCCTTAACGTCATTGAGGCCACGGACCCTTGCGCGCTTTGCCAACTCTCGAACGATAAATCCTTCGCCGTTCTGGAATTCAAAAACACCGGCGATGCCACTGTTGCTCTTGCTCTAGACGGGTCCTCGATGGTCGCCGACACGCCAGGACTTAGCATTCGTCGCCCGAAGGACTATGTCATGCCTGCTGTGCCGGATGAAATCATTTTTAATCCCGAGGTTGTCTCCAATTCGGTACCTGATACCATTCACAAGCTCTGCATTACAAATATTCCACCTTTCCTCACCGAGGACCAGGTATTAGAGCTGCTGGCCGCCTTTGGCAAGCCCAAAGCCTTTGTCCTCGTCAAGGAGAGAAGCACTGAAGAATCAAGGGCAAGTTTTTGCACTCTTATACTACCGCAATTACGCTAACCGAAATACTAGGGTATCGCGTTCGCCGAGTACGTTGAGCCTACTAATGCCAATGAGCCAGCCCTGAACACTCTTAACGGGATGGATGTTGGCGGTAAGAAGCTCAAAGCCAGGAAGGCGTGTGTTGGTGGAACGCAGGTGGCCAACTTCGATGCTGGTATTAATGCCATCAGCAACCTTGCTGGCCAAGGAAATGGTGGCGATGCGACCAGAGTTCTACAGCTTCTCAACATGGTTACGGCTGAGGAGCTTCTTGATAATGATGACTACGAAGGTAATGACGTCCCTTGACTAGCTATGCAGCAGCATACGGCTACTAACGCGATGACAGAAATTTGCGAGGACGTGCGAGACGAGTGCTCCAAGTACGGCAAGGTTTTGGACGTCAAGGTACCACGTCCCGCTGGTGGAAGCCGCCAATCGGCAGGTGTTGGCCGCATTTTCGTCAAGTTCGAATCTGTGGACTCTACCACAGGTGCCCTCAAAGCATTGGCAGGCAGAAAGTTTGCTGACAGAACTGTGGTGACGACATACTTCCCCGAGGTAAGTCTTATTCAGAGCATCCCCATGACAATCGTACTCACGAATCCTATAGGAGAACTTTGATGTCGGTGCCTGGTAAAGCAGGCTGGAAAAGAAAGCGGGGATAAAAATTCGCTGTGGCTAAGCACTAAAGCTTTGGCACGGCATAACCAGTTGTGTTCGGGTTGAGCCTCTCATTTGTTATTTCAATAAAGTGTATTGTACTGTCATTGATTACAGCAAAACTCAGGAAATCTAGGAGTTGCTGGAGGACGGCCTGTCGTGTGGCAACCATTTGTGATGATGGGGGATCGTGGGGACGCGGTATTGGTTGGCGTTCAAATCGTGATCTAATAATGCCGGGTTATATACTTCGCTACAAAAGGGCAGTTTACTACATGGAAAAAGCTATTTTGCATGTTAGCAAAGGGTTCTATAAGAAACTTGCAGTTCTGAAGCGTGTAGAAAGAGTAAGATCAGAAGTCGAGTTAGTGCAGTGAGAGCCCGAGAGCCCTCTAACTTAAGAGGTACCAGATATAAAACAAAGTGTTCGTATCATCATGTTGATAAGGGGTATGCAGTATTCTGTGAAAGTGTGAAAGTACTTACGGTAAAGAAGAGGAGGCTGCGCCTGTCAGCTTCGCCGAAGCGGTCACCGTTCATGCGATGCGCATGATGGCAGCAGGATTAGTTAGATAGTTAGGTAGGTAGGAAGGAAAGGGAACGAGAGGTTCAGAAATTTTGGCGGAGACTGGCGGCAGCAAGGGAGGCCCACCATTGCTGTTCATTATCATCACGTGCTGATAGACGCAAGGGTACTAGCTCGAGCAGACCTGTACCACGCACAAATCTGCCCTAACTAAGCGAAAATTCGCAACGCTCCACTGCTCAGGCCGCCCTCGCAAACTTCATTTGCGCCAGCCCGAGAAAACTCCATCACGACTCCTCCAACCTCAACACGCGATAATCGACAACCACCGACAACATGGGTAGACTTCACAGCAACGGCAAGGGTATCTCCGCCTCCGCCCTCCCCTACAGCCGCGTCGCTCCCAGCTGGCTGAAGACCACTCCCGAGCAGGTCGTCGACCAGATCTCCAAGCTCGCCAGAAAGGGTGCCACCCCTTCGCAGATTGGCGTCATCCTCCGTGACTCCCACGGTATCTCCCAGGTCAAGCTTGTCACTGGTATGTCTACACGACGGATTTTGGACGAGAGGAATCACACTTTCGAGCCTAGAGACCCTGGAGGCTAACCTTTGTCGCTTTTGCAGGTAACCGCATTCTTCGCATCCTCAAGTCGAACGGTACGAATCCCTGAATACAGACGGAACGATGTGTTGGATATACATCTTGGATTTGATCTCTCGCGAAGAGACAAATTATCACTTTTATGCCTCTGTACGGTTTTGACTGACAGAGTGATTATAGGCCTCGCTCCTGAGCTCCCTGAGGACCTTTACATGCTTATCAAGAAGGTAAGCAATACCCCGACACGCCACGGACGCTGTTCTTTCCGCGATGACATCGAGTTCATCTGCTAATTGATCCCCACAGGCTGTCGCCGTCCGCAAGCACCTCGAGCGCAACCGCAAGGACAAGGACTCCAAGTTCCGCCTCATTCTCATTGAATCCCGTATTCACCGCCTGGCCCGTTACTACAAGACTGTCGGTGTCCTCCCTCCCACCTGGAAGTACGAGTCCGCCACCGCCAGCACCATTGTCGCGTAAATGGAGAAGTCCTAGTCGATATCGTGCCGCGCCGCTGTGGATTTCCCTGGTTTGGAGTTTGGGAAATTTTCATGGAAAAGAAAATACACGTGCATTTAGAGCCATGATGCTTATGCGCCGGTCCTAGCGGACTAATGAAGGTGGTCAATAGCTCAAATTGATAGCAATTTGTCTACCATTAAAAACCCTTATACATTCAAATGCTGGTATCATAACTGTGAAATGTCACATATCCTGTAGAACGCCGTATCATGCAGAAATATCCTGTAGCGACTCCTCAATCATCAATTTGACAAATCAATTCGAGCCTTCGATCTCTTTCGATTTCTGTATCAAGTATTCACCAAGAACCCGTAGCGGATCGTCGGGCCTAGTATGTGTTAGTGTAGATGCGCGGAGCACTGCATTTATCGCATTTACGCACTGTTCTTTGGCCAGCATCTTCATTCCCTCGAGGAGAGCTCCGGTGACTTTGTTGTTCAAGTATCGTCGCGTGGAATCTCCATTGGGAGCGGCCTCGGATGGCAGGGTGAATCCTGGGTCGGGGTGTACTGAGGGCGCGCGAGACGCTTGAGCGGGTGTGCCTGTCCTAGCTGGCGCTGGACTCGCGCCGACATTCGCAGGAGCGGGAGACTGTTCAAACGCGTCAGTTTCATTACAAGATCAACTGCGCTGCACGTCATACAGCTAGATCGACTGCCGCCTCTGTCATGGCCACATCCTTGTGCGGTGTCTCATTGGACGTGTCTACGGCGGTGTCGGCACCATTGACTATAGTCTGAGTGACCGCATCTGGTGCCTGTTCGCTTGCGACATTCTCGTCCGCCATGTTTGCGATTTCACTTTGCAATTGGCAATTTGGATCAACTTGGTAGCGTTTCCTTGCGCCGGGTAATTGGCGGGGCTGTGAGCTCCTACCTATGAAATCACCTGACTTCGCGTCCGTGAACGTGTGTACTCTCGACGCGTCTCAGCCGCACTTTCGAAAAACTGAGGTCTCCAGCACATTTCAAAAACGAAGGGACGTTGTTCGGCATGGATGATCCACGATGGATGCATTCAAAAAGAAACTGTCATCAACAGCCGGTTCTGATGTGTTGCTAAACGTCATCCCAGCTACCGAGAAAGATGGCCCGCCATCGAAACGAGTAAAGATGGATGAAACCGCCAGTTTGGTGTCCGAGGAATCCGAAAAGTCTGTCATTGACGAGTACGACGAGCAGTTCTATGCCGATAATGACTGTGGGGATACTGCTGCCCGAGATCAAGCTCGAAGAGCTACAGATGTTGAAAATGCGCTGCCTCCGGCGCAGTCAGATGAAGCTGCCTTTGATGCATACGAAGAATACAAATCATCTCAGATCAGCGCGAAAAAAGAGACTTCAGAAAAGGCGAAGCCTCTATGGATGAAGGGCAGGAGTTCTATTTACGTGGACGCCTTCAACCTAGCCTTGGACACCGTCCTCGAGGAAGAAGCAAAGCTTTTTGACGAGCGAGAACTCAGCGTCTTTGATCAATGGAAAGCGCTAGACTATGAAGCGCAATATTTGTATGTCATGTATAAGCTGGCTGCCGAAAATGTGCTGACCAAGACAGGTATGTTCGCCTCTTTCTCAGAAAGACAGCCGCTTGGCACAGATCGTCCCGCCTCGGCTATTACAATGACATCGCAAACCTTGAAAAATCAATTGCTACGTTGCAGCAGACTAGATCTCTTCCTAGCAGCGCATCTTTACATGCATCTACCAGCGAGGTAGATGGAATCGAGGTCGAGGATGAGAGGCTCGGGTCTGCGTTTACTTTTGCTGACTCTTCCGAAATGTTGCTCACTGACATGGAAGAGGCGGCATCACTACTCTTATTGGAGGAACTGAAAACACTCTCAAAGGAGACCAAAACACAAGGACGAACAAAACCCGAGTTGATCCGGAGCCTATCCCAAGTGAGCCGCAAGCAGACTGGCCTCATGGATATGGGTCTCAGCAGACAAAACAGCCGTGACTCAACAGAATCTGATGGCTCCTCGATTGCGAAACCCGAGAGGGAAGACTCTAAACAGAAAAACATGTTTCTCTCCAAAGTTACAGATATCCTCGGACCGTGTATTCGACTGTCCTCTGTTGTGTTCAAGCTGTTTCAACGAGTGCATCTTGTTTTCTACCGATCGACAGAATGGACCGAGAAATCTTTGACGACTATTATCCTTGCCAAAATTGCTCGCAGAAACTTTCCAGAGTATATCGTCTGCCGTACCAGCACCATATTCGCATCTCGAGAGCACCTATTGGAATTTGAAGCCGCCATCCGGCTAGAAGCAGAGATTGATCTGTGCCTGGAAGGCAGTGGAGCGGTGCTGGACAAGGGCTGCCAACGAATTCTCGAAATTTACGACCTTGTATATCCTCGTTGGAAGAAGTTGTTGAAAGAAGAAAAGCGCAAGGAGCAATGCGTTTACGAGTTTGGGGAAGGGGCATACCTGCGACGGCTTAATCCGGGCCATTCATATACGCGGATTCTTGCCAAGGCAGGCTATGCAATGGGAAAATTTAAGGAATATGGACGAGAACACGATTTGCTCCAAGAGCTTCTCGACCAGAAAATGTTTCATCTTGCACGCCGAGGGGATTGGTATCAGCGGAAAGCCCTGCTGGAGGAGAATTACATGGCGAAACTGGGCGAGCCATGTGCTCCTGCAGAGTTGGAGCGACGGAAAAGGGAATGGAATAAAACGGCCGCTGCCACTTGCGAAACTGCACTTCAGGATCCTGATTGTCATTTGACGTTTCACTTTGGCTTGCAGAAGAGACTCTTGAAGTTGGAGAAGAAGTTGCGGATACCAAAGCGACTGCAACATGATTTTGGCCACGTCAAGTTAGCCAAACCTCTCGAAATTACGGTACAGGGGATCCAGCTCAAGCGAGAGACGACAACTAAACCGGGTAACACTGGTGTTCCCACCAAGACTATCTGGCTTGACGAACTAGATTCGGGGGCCGAGTGCAGCGTCGAGGATATGTGTTTGAGCCACTTCCGTGCAGAGGGATGGAAAGGTTACCACTCCGAGGGTCGCATCGTCAGAACACTCTTTGCCTATCTCTTCTACGACATCCTTTTTCTCTACATACCGAATGTCTTTCAGACGGCTTTTCAGACATGCCCTCTTGACTTACACACGGATGTCTTTTTTCCTACAAGAGCCTCCGAAATCAATCACAGGCTAGTGGAGATTGAAAATGGCCGCGCCGAGGACTTGGTCCGATCTGTGTGGCAGCGAGAACACGAGCGACGGACAGCAGTCGTGGGACTCAACTGGGACTATGAAGTCGATGACCTGACGGAGCTTGTGCGATGCTTTGACGGAGGCGCTCTGGCGGCGATTTGCAAGGTCATGGCACAGGAGTACAGACAGAGGGGGGGTGGTATTCCAGACCTGATTTTATGGCGTACCAATGAGTCTTCTGATGGCACCTCGGGGGGGCGGAAGGGAGATGTGATGTTTGTGGAGGTGAAGAGCGAGAATGACCGTCTGAGTGAGACGCAACGAGTATGGATCCATGTGCTAACAGCAGCCGGGGTCAAGGTGGCTCTCTGCAACGCGGTCGCCCAAGAAGTGCGCGAAGTGGGCTGAAGTGCCGACGATTTCCAGAGCCCAGGGATTTAGGCAAGCCTGCCCGGCAGAAAGTTGCCAGTGGCCAGGCTGGACGGCATCTCGACTAGACGGCATCTCGACCCGGCGGCGACTGCTCTGAAGCCTAGTGTCTTGCTTCCACGGGGACTTGCGCTGAAAGAGAAGGCGCTCGCTGGAGGCAACGAAGATTGCACTGCATCGTGCCCCATGTTGCTCTAGTGGCGCAACCTACAGCTGCAGCTCGAGGCATGTCACAGAAGGAGCAAGTGTACGAGAACAGACACATGACCCGCGCCAATTACGAAGGAGCCGGAGCTGGAGCCTGGAGCAGGGTGGTCTCGTTTGAGAGGCACACTGGTAGTGGAGTGTTTGGTATACTTGGTACACTGACATGACGCTAGTTTGGGAAGGTGTCATATGGTTATCAAAGAGAGCAGATTGTGTGGCGCGGCGACATGTCGACGCATCATCGCCTGGCGATTCGCGCCGATGGACTCATAGGCAGCAATGCGGTTTGTTGGGTTCTTTTCCGGGGTCACGAATGTTTTCTGAAACCATCATCATACTGATAGCGCCGGATATCAGGACGGACACACTTGGACATGAGCGAGGCAACTCTTTTCGACTTGTGACATGGGGATGAATGTGTACTTGAGCCGCTACTAGCTAGGGGTCTAACTAATGCAACAATGCGCGGGCAGGATCCAAATGTAAGCTAGGCACGAAGTGGACATGAAAGAGGAAACAGCTATTATCCTGCTTTTACAGCTCAGAAAGACACAGAAACACGACTGGGCCGAAGCACAAATTTCCAGCTCCGTCAGTGTTCCGTTTACTGCGCCGTGCACGAAAGAGATGGGTCGATTTCCGTGAGGAGCCAGATGCAAATGCCACGCAAAGGTCCGTGATGCTGATCGTTGCCTGGAGACTGTGCGCTCAACGGGACCAAGAGCGGGAAGAAGCCGAGAGGGGCAGCAGAAAAAAAAAAAAAAGAGTCAAAGACAATGAGTTGAGGCTAATCCGGAGCGAGATGTGACCAAATCGGCTTAATCAACGAACTAACTAGCAAAATCCCCAAGTCTTGGGCGAGACAAGGGAAACAAGGGCGCGGTCCACACCACCTCGTCCCAGGGTTTAGGTTCCACCATGACGGGCGCTTAACCAACTACCAATCAAGAGGCCGAGGCTGACTGGAGTGGGTGACGAGCTGGAGCAGAAGCACTAGCCAATGAAGCCAGTGCTAAACCAGCTGCTGGCGCTTAGAGCTCGTCACTGACTGGTCCGGCGTGGCAAGGGTGTGTGTGGGAGAAACGGAAGGGGGGGGGATGGAACGCGTCTTTGGGGGAACGAAACGCCTGGCCATTCCGTGCATGTGTGTGCTCTCAAGGGAAACAAACTCTGGCTATTTAGGGAGGCTGGGAAGAACGCCTGTCGCTGACATTGGCGGGGGTTGTCCGATTTTGTGCAAGTGACCGAACAACGCTGTACGACGCCGTCAAGAAAGCTGCCATCCAGAAGGTGTGTAAGTCGAGCAAGTTTGGGCATAACTACCTACCATGGAAGGCAACAACCCGGCACCAAATCCCACGTGGAAGGGTGTTTTCTTGGCTTTTTAGAGACAAGGGTTGCGGCATCTGCCGAGGGGCAAAGAGTTGCAGCCTGGCCCTAGTTTCCAACCTATCTATTTTGCTCCTCTCGCCGCCCCCGGAGGCATGAAGCTGCAGAGGGGGAGCGGCGTGGCTTTACCAGGCGATGCGCCGATGCAGCGATCAAGGAAACACAAAATCACAACAGTAGGTGGAAAGGGTATTTGAGATGAGAAGGAGATGAACAGAGCCGCCGCTTTCTACCCGCCCCCCATCTGCAACCCGGGGGACCACCACCCCTCCCTGATGTGCATGATGATGAGCGACTGCCAGTTGAGTGGGTAGGAGGGAGCGCGCCTTGGAGGTGCTGGCGCCAGCCGTCACACAGGAGGGTAAAAAAGAGGAATTGGGTGGCGGGCCAAGGTGCGTGCGCGTGGTTGCCGAGTCAAAATGTAAGGAATCGTCACACAAAAAATGTAATATAGAGTGGTTGATCAACTTGTTGTACAAGGGAACAGCCTAGACCGCGTTGCACGCGGGTCTGACAGAACAAGCATCGCCAACTTTTGGGCTTGTCGACAGCCAGCCCCTCCCCCCCGGGTCGGATCGTCCCTCGGCGGCAGACTCGAAAAGGCGGTATAAAAATGAGTGATTTGAACAAAAGAAATGGCGCTGCAGTGCGCAGCAAGTGCGGGGGCGGGATAATGAATTAATGCCTAGTTTCTTTTTTGATCGAGTTATTCATTTTGGCACTGCATATTCCCCGGTATCCGGGCTTGGGCTGGCATAAATTCTGCAACATTGCCCACACCAGCTGAAGAAGGTGAAGTGGATGGAGAAGGGGGGGGGGTGGACTCGGGAATGCGCATCATCAAGCCACGATTGGGGAATGAAGAAGAAAGGGAAACATTTTTTCCACAAATTTTCCACTTTCTGTTTTGGAGTCTTCTCGCAACTACCGAAGCTATTCCCCCCACCAGGTCTAATCATCTAAGATGGTCCTTTTTTTCTTCATGATTGTGGCAGCCTGGGCGCCAACAACGGTAACACTGCCCAGGCTGGCTGCTGCAAAATGTTGGAGCATGACACGAGCTTGCGCTACAAGAACTTTTTGTTGGCCTTCCTTGAACGAGCAAAAAACCCCCCGGAGCCGAAGCGTGTAAGAGAGGGCGAATGTGACAAAAGGGCCCTGTCAAAATCCCTGTCGGTTTTCAACTACCAACCCGTCAGATTGGGTCTGAATAGTGGCTATTTACTAGTGCCACTTCTCTCTCTCTCATATCGTAACCACTTTTGTGCAAAAGAAGTGGTATATCAAAGTACATATCACCCATTACAAAACATATCCCCAAGGCAAGATGAAACCCCTCGGCGTTCTGGGGGTTCTCGTTTTACTTCCTTTTATAAGTTAGCGTCTCGTTGAGGGGCTAATTAACGAGCTTTCTTCTTTCTTTCTTTTTTTTAAAGTCCTTGACCAGCATCCCCTGCTGATGATTCGATCCACTATCAAGATGTTGTTTTTTTTTCGAGGCCTTTTCTTGCGTTTTCGTTGCAGTGTAGATGAGGGGGTGCGTGGGAGTCATGACCATATGCCGGCACTACTGCAACAAAGACAAGCAGATCACACAAAATAGTAAAAGGGACCCCTCCCCCCTGTTGCAGAGGCAAGTGGCTTGGAGGGGGGGGTGTCCGGCCGTTTATTGCAGCGGGTAGCGTTGCATATCTTCTTGTCTATACTATGTATGCGTGGTTTTGGCGTACGGAGGGAACAATCGCTTACGAATGACTGGCTTATGGCTTGGAGTGAGAGAGGCCAGCCAATCTTTGATACATGAAATAGGCCCGGCGGGCGGTTACCTCGGAGATTCCCTCCCCTTCTCTCCTTGGGGCTTTGTGCGGCCGTCTAGTCTAGTTCCCCTCTCTCGCTTTGGCCCCCATCGTGGTGCTCTGCTTTGCTTTTCTTCCTTCCTTGCGTCCTGGTGGTGGCTTGAGCTTACCAGGCTGTGTGTGTGTGTGTGTGTGTTCCCATCGGTTCGGTACTTGGCAGCAGGCACTGGGCAGTGCCGTTCACTCTGCATAGCAAGCCCTCGGTCATGCCTGAGACATGCCATCACAGTACTGGAGCGAATCACATCATCAACTCGGTCCAAAAGAAATGCATGGGTAATTATCAAGTCACACGCTTTGCTACCTAATCTGTCTGTGACTCTTCGAGGCTGATAACTAAACGAGATGTGTATTGTGCCCGGAATGCACATCACACCATCCACATCTTGGACGTATCCCACTGCCAACGTCCTTGTAGCTGCCAATGCCCATGCTAAATAAAGAATCCAAAAACAAATAAAAAACATATGAAAAAGACACAGAGCAAGATGGTAAAGTTGAGAACTCTAGCTGCTTGCGTGGTCTGTCATGTCGTCCTGGCGCCTATCCTTCTCCCAATATGGTTGCGTAAAATCGTTGGATGCGCTCAGCATCGGCCAGCGCATTAGCACCGAAGCGTCATCCTTGTGTGGTTTTTGTTGCTCCCCGTGAAACTCCTAGGAGGTATAAAGAAATAGAGTAAAAGAAATCATCTAAAAACAGTGGATGTGAATGTAAAAAAAAAACATGAGAAAACAGCATCGTGTAAACAAAACTCTGGTGCCAAAAGAGATTTTGCTCATATGCAATCCCAAGAAGGTCAAGTGGTTGATATTGGTCTTGCACGGTAGCTGGCCAAGCAGCAGCCGTGCTGGTCATAACGTCGTCTCAGTAAATGCGAAGGGCAGTCTCGAAACCAGTCGAGGAGCGTCAATTCAGCAGGCACGGCCTCGTCGAATTATTCAACTTTGCGTCGCTTGCCGCGGGGGGCGGGTTCCATGCGTGGGGTGTAGGTGACTGTTCTCGTCACCACCTCGCGAATATGACGGACGCTGGTGCGGGCCGTCTTGGTGCGCTTCTTGATGGCGGCATCCCAGTCAAAAACAGGGCGCGAGGAGCGGCCGCTGTAGGGGGAGAACATGGAGCTGACGGCGCTCATGGGCGAGTCGAGGTTGGAGAGGGCCGGGCTGGGAGGGATTTGGAAGCTAGGAAATGACGTTGGCCCTGTGAGCGGCGCCGACATGGGCGCTTTGGTAAATGGGCTCGGGGGCACGAGAGAAGCAGATGCAGAGGCAGAGGCCAGTGCCCTTTCCACGGCCGAGGCCCTTTCCGAGGCAGAGAGTGTCGTGGCTGTGGCGGGCGATGAGGGCTTGGTGCTAGCAGCAGAGGCAGAAGTGGTGGGCGACGCCGACACTGACTGGTCGTCCTTGGCGCTGTTACTGCCAGTGGTGCTGGGGGCGCTGATGCTGCTGTCGTCGGGCTTTTCGCTGGCATCGGTGGCAGGCAAAGGTTCGAGCGGCGTGGTTTCCGCGGCGGCGGCGACAATGGGCGAGTTGAGGGACATGGCTTTAGAGAGGAAATCGGTGTACGCCAGCGGGGGGCTAATGGGCGTCTTGACGAAGTCCGGTTCCGCCTTACACAAGAAGGCGGGTAGGCTCAGACTCGAGAGGGGCGTGGCCGTGTTGACTGAGGTGGCAGAGGTGATTTCGGAAGGGAAGTTGCTAGTGACGGGCGTGGCGACCTCGAGCTTGGGTTTGGGACCGGGCATTTTGAAGAGGAATCGACGTTATGGGCGTTTGGTTTGTGGGCGCAAACGGCTTGTCGAGACTCTAATAAACCAAGACAGGCGAACGACGTTGGCGGGTATCGAACAAGGGTGCCGTACAAGACGGAGCAGATGGAGGGATGAGTGGTGCGAATATGTGATGGGCGGCGATGGGCGGCGATGGGCGACGAGAGTGTTGAAAAGAGTGAAGGCTAATGGCGATGGCGACGGAGCAATAAAGTAAGACGGCGGTGGTATGATCAGGGTCAGCCTTGAAGTAGAAGAAGGGAACAGGCAAGCGTGGGAAGAAGGATGCGGCAGTGTTGGCGTTTATGTATATTGACAGTAGGCGAGTAATGAGAGAGCATAGCCCAGCGGCAGCAAGTGGTGTATGGAGGAGGGGTGTGGTCTTGAAGCTTGGAGGGGGGGGTTGGATGGGATGGGATGGGAAGAAGAGAAAGAAGAAGAGAAGAGTGGTGGATAGATGACTGGACGAATGGATGAATATGAATAAATGGTGGTGTGGTGGGATGGGAGATGGATGGACGAGAGGGAGAGTTTAAAAAAGAGGATGATGATGGGAGGAGGGGTGCGGCTGCGAGGTTAGTGGGTGTGTGCTTGAAGTTTTTAATGGCAGCTGGTTGCTTGCCTGGCAGGCTGCCTTGGAGGCTTGGAAGCGCTGCAAGGTGGTGGGTGCCAGACCGTGGACAGTGGCAGTGGACAGTGGACCAGCTGAGGCAGTGGCAGCCTGGAATGCCGCGCAGCTACCTAAATACAGGGCTTACAGGGACCGCTTTGGCGCGTGCTGCCTTGGAATTACAGTACCTGCCTAGATATGCACTGTGCCGAGAGAGCCGTTTCAACTGGCGCCGACAAGCGAAGAAAAGAAAAGAAGAAAGGGGGAATTGAGATTGGTTTGCAACGGGATACGGTGGCAAAGAGGGGTCACCAGAGTAATTTTCGTCCATGTTGTGTTTGAAGTGTGTGCCAGTGCACAAGATGCCAGCGATGAACGGCTGGCCGCTGCTTGCTCCTGAGCCAAGTCGGTTGACCCCGGCCTGCTGTGGATGATTTCGGGGCGCAAGCCGGAGGCGAGACCAGGATGCGGAGATACTCAAAATAGGCACGGGGGCGAATTTGTTGAATAATTAGCAATCCAATGTGGCCAAATTAAGGACTTGGTGTTCGTCATAGGAACCGGTTGGCAGATGTTGTGGCCATTGGCAGAACGTAACTACCTACCTACCTACCTAGGTAGACTTGCAATACGCCCATACCTACATCTGACTGATATAGTCATGATGGTTTCAACGCCAAAACTTGGGCTGGTACCTAAACAGACGCCTTTGTCAGAAAATAGACAGAGTACATAACTAACATAATAAAGATAAAATAAAACCAAACCAAACCAAACCAGTGGACCCCCCCCCCTCGCTCGGCGCCTGCTCGACAGCCGACAGCCAGTCGTTTGCCTCTCTTAGCGGGGCAGACCTTCGCGTTGCTCCCCTCAGCCAACCTGTCACCCTGTCTTCTCGAACCACCCACAACTACGGATACGGATACCAGTAACTAGTCTGCTTGCTTCAATGCTTGTCCATCAGTACGCGCCCAGCCTTTTCGAGACGCAAAAAAGGTGCTCCCAGAGTCCTGTGATTCGGTCGTCACGCCCCCCTACCCCGATCCGACCTTGTCTTGTGCCCTTGCGATTGGGCAACTTATGGAGAGGGGGGCGTGTCTATCAGCAGGTTCAGCACACAACTACCGATTCTGACAGAGACCAGCTCCCCTCAACGACGGAAATGCCTTCTGGCTCAAGTAACTAGAAGCTACGGTACAGATAACTATTAGCTCTCGCTCGGCTCTACCTTTTGGCCACTCTCTATCCGCAGGCCGTTGTCAGCGTGACGGTGAATTCGGCCTCGGCGCTTCGCCTTGGCGTATTCCACACAATCGGTCGAGCCAAACGGCTTCGCCCCTGCCGCCATTCCAAATTCTTCTTCACACACCTCTCTTCAAAGTTGAGACCTTGTTTCCGCTTCTCTTCTTCAAACGAGCAATCCTGGGGCTGACGAGTAGCCGGGCGAGAATACCCACAGGGAGGGGGGCGCGGACGGACGAGACAACCCTGGTCCTGTTGAAAAGAAAGGGTAGACGCACGTTGACGGCGCCGGCCTGGCCGGGACCGGGGATGCGGCGCAGCTCCGGCTCCCTGCCTACATTCGGGCCATGCAGTGGAGAAGAGGCGTTGCCAACACGGTCCTGACTCCTCCAACTAGCGAAGACTAATGCACCACACATACGAGTTAAACAGAGATGTGATAACGACAGCGCAATCAGAAGCAAACTCAGAGGCCAGTTGGAGGACTAGAGAGCCTTCACCATCTCAATACCGGTGGTACATGGCCGTTCATCTCTGGAATCGCAAGCCTTGGCGATTGAATCAACCCTTTGTTTCGTCTAAGCGCCTGTACCCAAGGCAAACCCCCCATTCACCAATCTCGTAGGTTCATCTTACTCACTCGTGAATCAGTTGAAAAAAAAAAGACAGGCACACGTCCCGCGACCCTATCGATGTGTTGCCCCAGACTCGTCCCGTCGCAAGGAGCGCTTCGCCGACCATCCATCCATTGGCTCTGTGCGCTGCCGCTCTCCCATGACACAGCATACCCACGCGAGCCGCCGACTTCACGATCCATTCAGTCGCTCGCCGTCGGGCTCTGCCTGGCTCACGCTCGTTTCTGTGTAATACCAGCCGCTGGGAGGGGGCTGGCTGACCAAGATTGAAGCCCATGGGCGTTTTCTCAATGCAGTCTCCCCACCGAAACCATTGGACGCTGATAAACCCGGCTGCGCGTTCGACGCAGACTGCTGCCCGCCAAAACAACCTGCAATTACAACTGGCGTTTTTCTTGTGCTCCTCGACCCGCGCTTGGAATTTTTGCCTTTTTTCTTTTCTTTTTCTTTTTCGTGTCGCACCTGATATTACCCAGCCTTCTCAGGCTTTTTTTAGGCTCTACCCCCTGTCTATAAGCGCCCCAAGCTGTCCCGCTTACTTGGTACATTAGTATCTACTAAGGTATGCATGGCGTCGACCAACGGGGTGCCGTTCCTTCCAGAACGATTTGGAGCGTCAACTCCCATCTCGTCAGCTGGTTTTCTCTCGTCTTCACCGTCTGTTGCCAGCTTTTCAATCTTCTCACGCCTTCCCGTCATCTTCACCCGCTTTTGGCTCCTCTTTCTTTCCTGTTGGTGGCGTTTCTGGCGCGCCATTAGGCTTGGGCTTTTGTGGCGCCCGACCAAGCTAACTCGGTAACTAACCTTCAGCCAACTGGCTTGTTGCACGTAGCTGGTCCTGCCGTGAACCAGACTCCCGGGACCAATAGCACCTACTCGCCATTGGTCAATGCCCAATTTGCCCGGTTAACTAGGCTGGCTTATTATGGCTTCCCGTGCAAGAAGAAGAAAACAGCTACCCGCCAACCGCTTTCATGACACCGCCCAAGATATCGGTGAGTGCCCTGGTTCACAGACACAAAGGGCCTCGCGCATTCAACTGCCCGCCTTGCGTCGGCATTGAAAAGCACCACGTTGTTTACTTTCTCTTTCCCGTTTCGCGCCCCATCATATGTATGTAGCTCCTGTTTTCTTGTGCCACGCACACTTGCACGAAAAACGACTGCAGACGCGTCCCGCTACCTACCCACCTTGATGCCACCGTCGCCTGCATCTGCAGGCCTATCTGGCCGATGCAGGCGATACTTTACACATGTATCGATGAACCGCCGACAGAATGCAGCTCTTGACTCATTCTTCTTCGGCCAGGCGAGAAATGGCTGGTGTGGGTGGCTCAACAACGGCCATGTTACACGGGTCCTCCCAACGTGGTACAACGATTTACCCGGCCCAGCAAGGCTCCAAAGAGCGCTTATTATTAACCAGTATCAAGGATTCCAGAGAGGAGATCATAGCTCTTGACAACACATCAGTTTCTATGAGCTAATTTTAGAGCTACCGGCGAATGCCCTCTTGGGAGTCGCTAATAGATGCGCCACGGCGCTCCAAAGCAACGCTACTCGGGTAGCGCGAGGCAGCAGCTACAGCCTTTTTCGTTTATGTTGTTTGATCTAATATCTCAGAGACCTGATAGATGATGAAAGGTCACCCCTCACACCGCCTTTATCTTCAAAGTCCGGGCTTGTTGAGCTGCGGCCTGGTTGCCCGGCATGGCCCTCGCCATGGACAGTGGCCAAGACCACAATCAACTGAAGTGATCACCAGGCCAAATCTCAAGCAGAGAACAAGTCAACAGCCTCATTTCATGTCCACTATACAATCATGCGTTCTGCTAGCATTGGGCGTGGCTTGCAGTTGTACGACGGCCCAAGATGTCGGCGCGTGGGAAGAGCCCTGCTTAGTCTCTCTACAGACTTTGGCCAGCTGAGCCTTGCATTCGTAGGCGTGAATCCAGTGGCTTGCATCGGGCATCCTCGTTTAATCCCTTTTGTATAAATTCTCCAATGACTGCAGAACAAACGCCAGGCAGCTATGCGGCCATGGTGTGTCTGCTGACGAAGCCAGAGCATGCAGCATTTGTCCGCGCAGGCTGCAAATGCACCACGATGGCGCAGCGACTGGAGCCAGCCTTGGCGGTTCTACTGCATCTTTCACGTGTAATAAATAATGTGGCAGCGGGAGATGACAAATCTGGGCACCGCATAACGAGCGAGGTTGGTTGTGTCTGGTACAACAAAACAGGCGCGGCGCTTGAAGTGGCTCCGGATTTGTCAGCTTATCAATAACAAACAAACAAGAATACTTTGGAAAGAACAGTTCAAGAAAATAGCAAGGTCAAAAGTGGTCTATATTCATCAGAAGCGGAGCGTAAAAGACTCCATAACGCTGCGACTTGGAGTCGAAGCAACATCAAACATTTACTTGTCATCCCCTAGCTAGAAAATAAATTATAGAATAAACGTAATGCCCAAAAGATCATCATATCTCTTTTCTGGCTTGTTTGTAGATGAGAAGAAGAGTTTAGCCAGTCGGGAGGAATTGTAACTTGATACTGTCAATGCCGTCCAAGGCCATATACCCCATTGCGACGCTATTGCCAGTCGCCCGCACAGCGTTTCTGGCCAAACTGACACGCAATTTACAGGCTGCGCAGAGGCAGCTTGTGCTCGGCGCCGCCAACGATGCCGTTGACGGCGACGGCGGCGTCGACGTCAATATCGACGGGCGGGTTCTGGGGGAAGGGCGTCACGGCGGCCTTGCCGGTGGCGTCGACGAGCTTGCCGACGAGGGCGTTGGCGTTGGCGTGGAAGTTGCGGGCTTCGACCTTGGCGCTGACCTTGGCGTTGACAGCGGCGGTGACTTTGGCGTCGATGGTAGCATCAACCTTGGCGTTGACAGCGGCAGCTACCTTGGCGTCGACGATGGCAGCAACCTTTGCATCGATAACAGCAGTGACTTTGGCGTTAACCGCGGCATCGACCTTGGCGTCGACAATAGCAGTAACCTTGGCGTCGACCTTGGCGTCAACAGCA